AAGCCTGCTTCTCCCTCTCCCACTCCCCCTGCTTGTGTTCCCTCTCTCGCTGTGTCTCTCTCTGTCAAATAAATAAACAAAATCTTTAAAAAAGAGTCAAATAAGCAGATGTGACAAACCATATTCCTTTATAAGGATAAGGCTAATTTATTTTTTTATATATTCAAAACCACTGTAATTGCCATATCTGTATTTCTTATGAAAACAATCGATAATATCATTTATGATTACTATAGAAGTATATTATAAAGAATGCAGTTTCAAGATCCACCCCTCCATCTTACATGTTCCCATTAGATCGATCATGGAATTACAGAATTTTAGAAATCACTCGGTTAAACCTTCATTTTATAGTTTAGAAAGAGAAAGTCCAGGCAAGGGAAATTACTTGGCCAAAGTTAAACAAGCAGAGACAGGGACTGGGCTAGAACGCAGTCCTCCAAAGGAATGTATAGTCACAACACTCTCCAACCTAAAACCATTCAACTAGTTTCTGTTCTTTACAAAACCAGGCCCAACTCTTTCACCTGGCATTCAAGGCCTCTCCTTTTTCTTCCCTAAACTTCCTTTTCAACTATATCTTTCCCTTCTTATAAAACACTACTCCATTCAAAATGTCCATGGATATCCCCAAGGCTTTCTCCTCTCCTCTCCTCTCCTCTCCTGTCCTCTCTCTCCTCTCTTCTCTCTCCCCTCCCCCCTCTCCTCTCCCTCATCTCCTCTCTCTCCCCTCCCCTCCCTCCTCTCCCTCATCTCCTCTCTCTCCCCTCCCCTCCCTCCTCTCTTCTCTCTCCCCTCCCCTCTCCTCTCCCTCATCTCCTCTCTCCCCTCCTCTCCCTCCTCTCTTCTCTCTCCCCTCCTCTCCCTCCCCTCCCCTCCCTCCTCTCCTCTCCCTCCTCTCCTCTCTCTCCTCTCTTCTCTCTCCCCTCCCCTCCCTCCTCTCCTCTCCCTCCTCTCCTCTCTCTCCTCTCCTCTCCCTCCCCTCCCCTCCCCCCTCTCCTCTCCCTCATCTCCTCTCTCTCCCCTCCCCTCCCTCCTCTCTTCTCTCTCCCCTCCCCTCTCCCCTCCCTCCTCCCCTCCCTCCTCTCCTCTCCCTCCTCTCCTCTCCCTCCTCTCCTCTCCCTCCTCTCTCACCTCTCACCTCTCTCCTCTCTCCTCTCCTCTGTTTGGGAAGTTTTTGTCCCTATTTATCTCTCCATGGACAAATCCCATCTATACGCCATCTCCTTCACAAAGAATTTGATGATTCTCTTAACTGGGCAAAAAACCACTTGTGGCATTTTCCACTTTCTTTCCTCTTACACTGATTTGTGTATGTTGTAACTCTCTTCCTAAAACTGATGCTAGTGTTGGTAAAGCTTGTATCCCCGAAAATCTCAAGTTTGGTTTTTCTAAACCTTAAGATGAAATAGATTTTCCACATTGGCTAAATCTACCCATAAATCTAGCTCTTTTTTCCCTTAAAGCAAAAAAAAAACAAAAAACAAACAGAAATTGTCCCAAATCACTTCTAAATTATAAAAGAGCCTTTTAATTTAATTTTTTTTTTTTTTAGGTGCAATGATGAAGAGTTTTTTCCTAGTTGTGAATATCGTTGCATTAGCCTTGCCATTTTTGGTGAGTTAATTTCATCTAATCAATTTGTAGTAAGACTTTAAGAAAATTTTATTTAAAAGTTCTAATTATGCAAATTTCTAAGTGCAGTTACACTTCATAGGACAAAATAACTGCATAACTAGCTATACTTTTTTAAAGCAACTTATTTTTTATTTATTTTATATTACAAAATTAAAGTCATGTTCTTCTGTATATGCTTTTAGCTCTCAGGAATTAAGAAATCACACTTTATTATTTATGAAAAACCCTTAAAATTCTCATACTATACAGAAAATAGATTCTGGAGGGAAAAAACAATAGTAGAAATATTTTTGGATTATAAAATGCTCTAAAAATAATTCCTAAAGAATAAATACATAAATCATAGTTCAGGATCAGAAATCCCTTTAATTAAATTCCTATCTTACACAGATCCATTTTCTTTAGGGACTAAATCCTTAAAACTTTAGGAGTTTGGTTAAAGATTTTCCACCAGTATCAAAAACCTTGACACATCTACATTTAATATTCAAACATCATTGTGTCTTTTGTTATACTCTTCCCATTAATGTCAACTGACTCCTCCCCAGGAATAGTATTCAATTCTATGGTTTTCAGGTATTTTCTTGAATTGCATGCTGTATGTTAAAGCTATAGGACCAAGGAAAAAGGTTTGGCTTTTTTCTTTTGATTTTTTTTTACTTGCTTTCATTGTTGTTTTGGCTTTTGCTCTGTTTCATTTTCATGTTCATTCAGGGATCACTTGCCAACAGCAAGAGCAAGAAGACAAACAGAAGATGTTATATGATCATCTCTTAAGTTATAAATTTTAGAAGACACTAGTCCTTGTTTCATAATTCATTTGTTACTAAACTTGCTTTTAAGTTAATATCTATTAAATAATTCTATTAGGTAAATTCTTAGAGTCAAACTCTTTAAAAATTTGCATTATTATGACTTTACATTTATTTTCTTTCATTTATTCTTTGAAATTCCATTTTATTGTGGCCACCAGAACATTCCAAACTTGGATTTTCTCTTTGAGGGGCAGGGATTAAAATTTAAATAAGAAAATTCTTATTTTAGGTTCCTGGACAGAATTCCAATATGTGTTGGGCAGCGGGGGTGGGGGGGGGGGTTCCTCACACACCACCAAGTAATTTTTGGACACCACCAGAGTGTTGAAAAATTCAACTCAATTCTGACATTATCTTCCCAGAGATAGGATCAAATTCCACAGGTTAAGGGTTCAGACCTACAATACCTCCCACTTCAGACACTAGTTGCAAGCCCAGGCTGTTACCTGTAGTTCTGAAGACTGGCTATAGGTGGGAAGTTCCCACAACCTCTTCCTTGGGTTTGGTTAATTAGCTAGAATAGCTTACAGAATTCAGGAAATGTTTTACTTACTAGATTACCAGTTTATCATAAAATGATATAACTCAGAAACAGTCAGCTGGAAGAGATGCATAGGGTAAGGTATGTGGGAAGAGGGGCATAGCTCCCATGCCCTCTCCAAGAATGTCTCTCTCCCCAAATGTCCATGTGTTCACCAAACCGGAAGCTCTCCCAGCTTATCCTTTTGGGCTTTTATGGAGGCTTCATTACATAGGGATGACTTACTGACCACTGGTAACCAATTCAACCTTCAGTCCCTTTCCTGTCTCTGGAGGATCAGGGGGTGGGACTGAAAGTCCCAACCTTCAAATCAAGTGGTTGGTTTCTCTGGCAACCAGCCCCCATCCTTAGGTGGGGTCCAAATAACATAATAAAAGATAATTTTAACATAATAAAAGATACCTTCTTCCCCAATGCACTCCTCACTTAGGAAATTATAAGGGTTTTAGGAGAACTGTGGCAGAAACTAGAATGAAGACCAAATATGTATTTCTTATTATAAATCACAATATCACATGATCCACAACTGCCTGCTCTATGGCAACCTCTTCCTGAGCAATTTAAGCAACTAGATCCCAAACACTCCTTCCCATTTTCACAAAGGCTTCAAGTCCCAGGGACATGAACAAATAATTCAAAAGAAGAATAAAAGTTTATAGATTTACCATTCAATCTTATGTCAAAATTATACATATATTGTGATTGTATTTTTTATGTGTTAATTTATCCCTTCTCTCTAAATATAGTCAGGATAATATTTACTACTAACAATTATGGGATGAATTGCACACTCTTATAGCCTATTGGTGGCATTATAAGTTGGCACAACTTTTCTGTACAGCAATCCGATAATTCCTATCAAATAATTTTTGTCCCCCCAAAAGTTACATTTTTTAAAAACTATCTTAAGGAATCTATGAAAACTATTAAAAAGGACATTGGTATACAATTGTTATTCATCTATCTATTTATAATAAAACAGTTTTTTGAAAGAAGCTTAATGGTTAGCAATAAAGAATAAACATTTCATGACATAATCATTAAGCATTCATTTTTCAACTATAAATATCCATGTATAAAAACTATGAGATAAATTGAAAATTAATATGAGATCATGCTTCTTGAAAAAAAGCAAGATATAAGAAATGCACTAAAATGAACATATACCAGAAACATATGTACAAAGTGATATTATATGAAATGTCTAGAAGAATTTTTGCGTGTAGGCAAACTTTCTATAATATTTCTATGACTTTTTAAATTTTAAATTAGTAATATAATGCATTTAGAGCACAGAATTCTCTTAACATATCCTGAATTTTATTATTTTATCAAATTTCTGATTTTCTCTACCTACATCTTCCAAAGGGTTTCTAGAGTCTTTTTATACCCAAAGGGTATGTGTGAAAAGTCCTGAACTAGATCTATCACTTAAAAAATATCACTTGTTATTGATGTAGTAAAGACATTAGGGTTCTACAGCCAAGAAAGAATTCTTGAGATGTCTTTAGTGCAAAAAGATGGTTTTATTAAAGCTTAGGGACAGGACCTGTCGGCAGAAAGAACCGCACTGGGGTCATGAGGAGTGGCCCATTATATACTTTCAAGTTGGGAGGGGGTTAGAGATAGTGTAAGTTTATAAGGAATTTTGGAAGCAAGGTTTCCAGGACCTTGAGGGGGCTAGCTATTGTTGGGAAAAGGTCATTTATTACTGTCTAATAAAACCTTAGTCATGAGACCCTTCAGATGTATATCAGTGGGTCATACGCTTGGGGGATGATTGCCAACATGCATCTTGGGGGGTAGAGATAAAGGCAGTTTCCAAAGGAATTTTTATATGTTAAAGTAGACATATAGGATCCTGGGGGTCAGGCTAAGATTGCCTTTTGCCCTTAGCAAAGTGTCAACACTGAGGCAGTTGAGTCCCTAGAGGAATGTCACTCTGCTTGTTTCAAGGACTTGTCAATGGGCTGTAAGTAGTAAGAAAATTTAATAATTTTTCTTTTCCTTTTGTTTTCCACATCATTATGACCTCATCTCAAAACTTTATAAAAACTTTGTGAGTTTTTAAAGCTTTATATATATATGCTTATGGAAATTGTTTTCTCACTTCTGATTCCCTATACATGCTGTAATCCAGAATTAAGAAAAGTATTGTAAAAACAAATGAAAGTTGATTAAAAAAAACACGATTATCATATAATATTTATATACAAATGTTATGTGAAAGGCAATTTTTTTAAATCTAGATAAACCTCATATATCATCCTGGTAGGAGAGCAGAAAAAAAATATACTCAACGCTCCTCTTATTTTTAACAATGTACATTCAAAAAACAAACAAAAAGCCAATGTACATTCAATACAAACTGAATATAGGTTATTCATATTTTTCATTTAAGCAAATATCATGTATACTTGTTGGCATAGGAGTCAGATGATCATATTATTTTCAACCTTAAATTCTTCTCCCCAGTGGTGATTTTAAAGATTTTAAATAGTTTACTGCTGTCACTTCTTGAGTGGTTCACAGGCCTTATAGATTAAATAACCATGGAGAATGCTTTACAATATTTTACAATATTAAAATAAAAACAAAGAAACCATGTTTTGTCTTTAGTACAAAATATTTTTAAAACCACAAAAAAAATCTGGACTCTACCCAATGCTTTTTTTTTAACTTATTTCTTATTTCTGTGAACCTCAGCAGGGTGCAGAGGTGCAAAACCAGGCACAGCCAACTGTAAGTTTATTTTCATTATTTCTAGTAGAGACATGAACTCTGAAGTATAATATTGTGCAAAGTTCAATGATATTTAAATGCCTTCTGTCTAAAAATTAATAAATAAACCCCATAAAATAATCTAATAATCTTTGAAAAAAAAAACCACTTTAGCAGCGCATCATACGAATCAACCTCAATATTCATCTGAAAATCTTGGATTCTTTTTATAACCCAAGTCATGTGTTTTGGGTTTTCAGATATATTTTGCAGCATGAGAAAACTGTCTCAGAGTTTAATATTGAGAATAAAGGAAAACAAATGTAAGGTCTAGTATCTCTCCTGACTGAAGACTTGGGGAAAGGTTGCTCTCTGACCCACCTTTGAATACTTCTCATACATTTGCATTTACTTCCTCTTTTTGTTCCCCAAATATGTTTGAATGAACACATTTAAATACGTCTCCTTTCATAAGAAATACTTGCTTTGCAGTGTAATTTTGTTGCTTCGTTCTACTCATATGGAAAGATCTAATGACATATTTTTATAAATGCACATAAGCAACAGAGACAAATACAAATGGGAAATTCCCTAACTGATCTTTAATGAATAAAATGAAGCTGAAAAGAATCCAAAGTATAAATCCAGGAATCCTCCCACATCATATTATTTTACTATTCTACTATAATTAATTTAGAAAAAAAAATGTGCCCTCAGCCTAGTCTCTAGATAAATAAAATTTGTAAACATTTACAAATATGTGGTAAGAATACATATATACATATACACAAATATATGAAAATATTTATATATCCACATATATTCCTGTGTGTGTGCTAAGTTTGTACACAGTATGTCAAAGCTCTCTATGAGATTTTTCTAGCTATTGTACTTATTATAATGTCCCACATTTACTGAGTGCTTTTCATCTATGCCAAGACCTAGGCAGCGTGGTTTTACATTATGTATTACTTCAACTAATTTGTTTGAAACTAATATTATTTTTAATATTTGTTGAAAATCAAAAAGTAGAAGGGAAGTGTACAAATCTGTATCATAAAATAATATGGTTGCTGAGTTCACTATTTCCAATATTGTAGTTATTCAATGTCAAACACTAAAATATATACTTTAAAAAGCTCTGATTTAAGATATCTCTACATTCCAGCCTACAATACCACGTCCATAACATATTCTTTTTACAGTGCCGTGAAAATGATGAAAGACCATTCAATCAGAAAACTGCCAAGTATATCCCATTTCATTATGTGCTGAATAACTATCCTCGCTATGAACACACTTACTACCCACATAGACCAGCTGTACCAATTAATCATCAATATGTGCCTTATCCATATTATGCAAAACCAGTTGTTTTTTGGCCACACGCCCAAATTCCTCAATGGCAAGTCCTGCCAAATGCCTACCCGCCCACCGTGGTACATCGCCCACACCTACATCCATCATTTATTGCCATCCCCGCAAAGAAAATTCAGGATAAGACAAGCATCCCTACCATCAATACCATTACTACTGCTGAGCCTACACTTATTCCTACCACTGAACCAAGAGTGGACACTGTAGTCACTTCAGAGGCTTTCTCAGAATACACCATCACAAGCACACCTGAGACTACCACAGTTCCCGTTACTTCACCTATGGTCTAAAAACTCTGAGGAAACATCAAAGACAACACAGGTAAGTGAGCAAAAGACAAAAATAAATAGTACAGACAAGATTCATGGATTTATCGGTACAATCATAATACTTAAACTAGTATAATAGATAAATTAAGCCTGTTATAAGAGCAGGCAAAATGGGTTCATTATAATTTTAATTTGATAGTGCCATAGCATTGATATACTAGATTCTGTTCCAATAAGAAATGAAATATCTTATTTTACAAAATGCAAAAAAATTGGAGATGTTATTATCAAACCTTATTTCAACAATCAGAACACTCCTCAAATCTACCAGTTTTATTTCATTCCTATTTATACCCACAGAAAGTAGAGTGAAATACTATGTTAAACTTGTGATTTTTCTTATCTCAAAAATAAATGTTCTGAGAACATTTATATAGAATATGAGTTTAAATACATTTTAAACATTTAACTGTGTTCTTGCACTCTAATTTTGCCCTGAATCGAGCAAAAGGAAATACATTTCCCACGCATTTCTTTATTTCAGACATCAGTTCTGAAAGGATCCGTGAAGTTTAAGCACTCAAAATTTCTTGTATTCTATGATGAACCCATGGAAGAATTGTAATTCTTAATTTTAAAAGCACATACATACTAAAAGAATACTTTCAGAATCTTTTTTAAAATACTTTCAGAACCTTAAATGTGATGCCAACACTTCCATTTATTATTTGGATCAATGAATAATGCCAGAGTTTAAAATAACTTGAAATTTATGGAAAGAAATTAAAGGGAAAGATCAATAAAATAGAAAATTTTGAGTTTCTTTGCAATAAATATTTTCAGCGCATCAACCTGTCTATATATTATATAATCTGAAATACAACACAGTGACCTGTGATACAAGAGGAATAGCATTAGACCAGCGTTAGACCAGAGGGCTATTTCTTCCATCTTGTGACTTTAGACAAGTCATTACTCTTTCTGAACTTTCATTTTCTCGTAATTTTGGTTTCTATAAAGTGGCAATGCATATTGTGAAAAGATTGTAAAAACTGATCAGTCTGCCATTTTTCTAATCAGTATTAGAAAAATAAAATCAGTAAATGCTAAAATTTACTTTTAAGCAATACCCTGTCCTTACTAAATGATAAAAACTTTATATAGTTATCTCAGATTATTCTTATAGCAACCATATGGAACAGATTATATTAACTATCTTCAATTCACAAAAGAAAAATAACAAGCCCATGAATCTTAAGTAAATTACCACAGCTCAGAAGTTCAAAACTGGGAACCAAACCAAACTTGTCTGGTTTCAGATAGTAAAGTGTAATTACTCTGCTACCTATTTCTATATGGACTGTCTAATATACAGAAAAACAGAAAATTCACTATGTTTTCCTTAGATCAATGTATCTATAAATTGTATTATTTAGTTGCTCTTTAATAGGACATATGGTAGGAAAAAGAAGATAAGATGCTGGGTAAACTTTGGACTTATTAAAATTTGGAAAACAAAATGAGAAAATTAATGGATACAACATGAAAACAAGTAGTACAGTTATGTATTGTATTGACTCAAAATGTTACATGATTATGTTTTTAATGAAATAATAATTATCTCAATAGCTACAATTGTTCAAAATTCATGAACCTAGATTTCTAAGTTAAAACCAGTATATAATATTACTTATAAAGAAGCATGTTAAGGACATTATTTTGGTGTAAATATTAGATGAAGTCAATTATTTTCAGTTACTATAAGCCAATTTTAAATATTTAAATTTAAATATTTAATTTGATAAAATCCTTGGATACAGACATAAGAGACAAATCATTTAAGCTAAATAAAATTGTACATGAGAACTGTTAGCATACTATGAACTAAATTCCTAAACTGTCATCATTTTTTATAGGTCTTGATGAAGCTAAATGACTACTCTAAACTCTCCTTTGGTCACTCATCTACGTTCATTCAAGAGAGAATGTGATTTTGATAGATTTGGCTCCTTTCTCTTCTCCCTTCACATTTTACGTCCATATCACATTTAATTTTTTGTTTCTTGCACAATAAAGCCATTTGAATGCAAGTGGATCTCTTAGTTGAGGAGTCTGTAGATAGACCTCAAGGATCTCTGAAACCTTGTCACTTCAAAGCAAATTTAGTGTGAGTTTCAGTAAACAAGTTTATCTGGGGTCAAAGTTCATGTTATCCAATTCTCAAAGTGGTCCTCGGTCTAACAGTGATTAAGTATGTCTTCTCCAGGATGACACTGAACATCTAAACTTACAACTAAGTCATTGGAACCAGAGAAGAACTAAGCTATGATGTTCCAATCCAAGGGACCACAAAGTGACTCTTGAGAGCCCTGGAAACTCTGGAGTTAACATAAAATTTAAGTGCTAATGTTAAATCATTCCTGGGAGGAAATTCTGGGCACAGGCAAGCTACAGATGACCACAACTACAAACACACATACATGGCAAAGTTACAGAAGTTGATGGAGACTAGACCTGCATGACCAGATTCCTCCAGACTGGAAGCTATGGTCTCACATCTGTCCAAACATAAACATGAGCATGCGCATGTATGTACACACACACACACACACACACACACACACACCAGGAAGTTTCTGGAATTAAGGTCTTCCAGTCTATAAACACTGGTGAATACTTAAAGTCCAAAAATAGGGTTTTCCCTTAAACACATATTACAAGGTAAATAAATGGGTTGTTTATGTGCTTGCTCCATATTTAACACATCCTGCCAGAGAAAATACAAATCACTCAACCCCTACAAATTGCTTACCTGTCACCCATCTAATCTTTTGCTGAAATTCTCAAGAGATGTGCTATTATTAGGAATGATCTGTAGCCTTTCACCAGCTCTCTCATTCAAATTTTAGAGTCTGGAAGAAAGGCATAGTCAGGAGCATGGTATGGCTGAGCCTTATTTGCCGTGACCATTAATAACTATTAATTTCTTAAAAAACAAAGTAAAAGGGGCGCCTGGGTGGCTTAGTCATTAAGTGTCTGCTTTCAGCTCAGGTCATGATCCCAGAGTGCTGGGATTGAGCCCCACATTGGGCTCCCTGCTCAGCCGGAAGACTGCTTCTCCCCCTCCCACTCCCCCTGCTTGTGTTCCCTCTCTCACTGTGTTTCTCTTTGTCAAATAAATAAATAAAATCTTAAAAAAAAAAAACAAAGTAAAAATGTGGAAGAGGTAGAATTTATTTTATTAATTTAAAAAAAAACATTGATCACCAAATAGGTACAAAGTACTATAAGAATTATTGTGGGGCATATAACAATAATGATATTTAATAATAATATGCAATCAACAGTTATACAATATATACTATAGGCCAGTCAATCTTCTATTTGTTTACACATATTTAGTCATTTCATATGTACCCATGGACTACATGTTGTTGTTGCTGCTGCTGCTGCTGTTGTTATACCAGAGAAATGAATAATTTTCCCCAAATGGGGCTGGGATTTGAATCCACATAGTTTTGCTTTTTCTTCTTTTTTTTAAAGAGTGAGAGAAAACAAGAGAAAGGGGAAGGGGGGATGGGGAAGGGGCAAAGGCAGAGGGAGAGAGAGAACCTTAAGCAGGCTCCACATCCAGTGCAGAGTCTGACACAGGGCTCAATCTCACGACCCTGAGATCATGACCTGAGTTGAAATTAAGAGTTAGATGATTAACCGACTGAGCCACCCAGGCACCCCACAGATAGTTTTGCTTTAAAGTCCATGCTCTTAACCATGTGAACACTACTATAAAGCATTTCCAGTCTGGTAGATGAAATAAAATACAAAGCAAACTACTTTAAAATAAAAAAATCTTATATATAAAGCATTTTTGCATATATTAATCTTCACCAACAACCTCCTGAAATAATTTGTTACTGCTCTTCATTTTCTGTATGTGAAAACAACTTCAAAGCAGACCTAAGATAATAAAAAATTTATGGGCTTTAGATTAGGATAAACCTCAAAGTTTTAGCTCAAAATTATCCTTACCATGTGACCTTGAGCAATAAATCGAATGGAAAGTAATATTTTTGATTTATTGATATATGTGTCAGGCTCTGTAACAAGGATTTTATAGGTATTACTTTATTCCACACGTAGTACTCTGTTAGGTACTATTATTATGCTCATATATAAATGAGGAAACTGAGGCTCAGAGAGATTAAGTAATTAAGTAATTAAGTACACAAGATCGTAAACCACTAAGTGGTAGAGCTTAGCTTTGAACTCTAGCAATTCAATCCACCAGCCTTCATTATCTTACTACTAGGACATACAACCTTTAATCAGAGATATTCATTAAGGTACCCTATATCAACTGGGCATTCAGTCAATGTTCATTCCTTTATCCCTAAATTCGCTAAGTAACATTTCCAAGGACATCCACTGCCCACAAGATAAAGTCAACTTTCATGATTTTGCTATTACCTTTCCACATCATCTCTCTCCTTTACATCTGCACACCATACACTCCAGGACTCAAAACCTCCTTGCGGCTGCTTTAGCAGTAACAGCACCAGCGCTTCTCTGAAGCTGTTCAAGTTCTTCTGATAATTCATATCACATAATCAAAATCTGACTCCTTGACTTACATATCACATTCTATTTTTAAAAGATTTATTTATTTATTTTAGAGAGAGTGGGGGGGTGGGAGGGACAGAGAGAGAGAGAATCTCAAGTAGACTTCCCATTGAGTGCAGAGCCCACACGTGGTTCAGTCTCACGACACCAAGACCATGTCCTGAGCCGAAATCAAGAGTTGGGACACTTAACCAACTGAGCCACCCAGGTGCCCATTGGATATCACATTCTTAAGAAAACCTTTCCTGAACTTCCAAGATCAAATGATCCACTAATGTACTACCATAGCATCCTGCCCCTGCCATTTCTTTCCCCCTTAGGACTCACCAAACTCTGTTACACCTGCCTGTCTACTTTTCCTGCTGGCCTATGAGCCCTCTGAACATAGGAACTATATTCTGCCCACCACTGTCTCCAATGTAAGGCCTGATACAGTGCAGGAACTAAATAAGTATTTGTTAAACAAATGAGTAAAAGGAATAAGTGGATTGTTAATGACTGAAGTTGAAACACCCATTTAAGAGGATTAAATAACCTAGACTTTCCTTGCTAAAATCTAAAAAAAAAATAAATGTTGACCTTAGCAGTTTATTAGTGATCACGAATCAGATCACAAAAGCCAGTGATATATTGTTAAACCAAGTTCAAACTCAAAAGAGAATTACTATAAATCATTATTACCGATCATGGCAATACAAGCGTATAAAGAGAGAATGTTTTTATAACTTACTCTCAATTTTCAAGGAAAGAAAGCTGAATGTCAACAGAATGATAACTAAATTGCTATATCAACATTATGTATTATCTTAACTTTAGCAGACTATTTAAAAGAAGTAGATGATGGCATGCTCTCTTCCTAATATGATACACTTGAGTAGTGGCCAGATGCCCATATTATTGAAATCATGACTATAAAGTCAGGCTGATGAACAAAAACAGACTTAAAAGATCAAATGTATTCTTTTATGTGCACATTTTATTGGAATATACTGAAAAATCCCAGAAACTCTTTAAGGCAAGATTAAACTCTTATACATTCCTTTAAAATTACTATTTGACATTAGCATAGTTATTTTCCAAATTTAAAAATCATTCTCTTGAATTATTCATTACAAAATACCCACAACCATTACTGGGATATTAAGACAGAACTTTAATGAATAAAACCTTTAAATATTTCATGCCATAGAAACGATAAACTTTAAACTAATGATGTCAAGTAATAGTAAAAATATTAAAACTTTATAAGGAATAAAATTATTTTTTCTAAAATTTATCAGTGAAACATATTTCCACAAAAAGAATCCATGAAAGCAATGGATGTTGTCAACAGATTTGACTTTCTTTTAATTAGTGTTAACCCTTGCCAATAGTAATGATATTAAAGTTTTCTCAGTCTCTCCCCAATAGGAAATAAGTAGGAGGGACATCCAGGGATGAAAGGTTTATTTATTCAAAGAGTGCTTACCAGTTTTCATTTGGAGACAATGTCTACTGGAGAAGAGTCAGCTTGGTTAAGAGAAGATAAAATCTGACCAGAACACAGAGGAGAAAACTTTTCTAAGGTATCTAACACAAATAAGAGTTTGGGATGTTGATTTTTCATTAGACTCTGGGCTTTCCAAAGTTTGGACACAAATGTAATAGTTAAATTAATCATTGAAATGATCTGCTGACTTAGACAAACTGAACTTGTTTCTAACATTATTATACTTAGTAATTTGCATTTAAATTTTCTCCATGTCTTTTCATGGAAACTGTTCACATACTATCAAAAGTATGGAAACTGTTCACATACTATCAAAAGACAGAGTTTCACTTTCTGGGCAGTTTAATCAAAGCTTATTCCTATGAATTACTCAAGTTCTATGGCTGAATAGCAACATTTGATAAAATGCAATTTAAGTAAAAATCACAAAGCAAGTTTGTCTTTGTTAAGTAAAAACTGCTATGGTAGGAATGCTTCATTCTGCCTAAGACACTCTGCTAAAAAAATGGGTGCCAACTTCAATGCTTGCTTCAACACTTCCAGCTCTCTATGGAAGTATTGGCTTAAACATCCTAAAAGTATGAATTACAATTTTTTTTCACTAAAACTTTTTAAAAATAATTTTTACTTAAATAATGGACTTTTTCTTATATTTAAAGAAGCATTATGCTGTTAACTCCAATTACTCTAATTACTCTCATATTATTAGAACTTTATAAAGGATGCAAAAAGGTCTTGGGTAACCAGTAAATTATTTAGTGATAGCATTGCTCCTTGAGAAGTCTTAATATCATGATTTACTAAAATAATTTAGACTATTTACACAATTAAGTATGGACTGTCTTTATTCTTAATTTCCTTCCTTTCTTCCTTTCCTTTCCTTTTTCCTTTCCTTTCCTTTTCTTTCTTTTCCTTTTTTGTTAGTCTATGAAGAAAAGA